ATATATAATATATAAATAATATATGTAAGCATATACAAATATGGGTCAGGAACCTACTGTTAACCATTTTGCTTACTTCAGTCTTTTTCAGTCTTGATTTAGGTGATGAACCTTTTCTACGTGTGTTCACAACCAATGACACGATGAAGTGACTTTTTTGTATGTACCGTTTTATAGCAGTGGCTTTCTGTATAGTAGCCATCCAACAAACTGTCACATTCAGTGTAGGATTGTTTAATGAATTATTTAAGGGAGCACTGGGTTGCTTTCACAAGCCAAACAAGTAGTATTTGATTGGTCCATTGTCTGTTAAAGTCTTTTTAAAGGTCCAGTGTGTAACCATTTTATGGAGGGATCTCTGGCATAGAAATGGATATAATCAGTTTCTATAGGTATGTTTTCATGAGTGTATAATCACCTGAAAAAAGGAATCATTGTGTTTTAGTTACCTTAGACTGAGCTGCTTTTATCTACAGATGCCACGGGTTGCCTTCCATTTGGGGCCGCCATGTTGAACTGACTGAATGAAAACACAGCATGTTTTCATGTTGCAAGTAGCATTAAGTAGTAGTACCGGGTAGTTCTATACAGTGCACTCATGCTATTAGTTATTTTTTTAGCACATCTTGTTCTAAACATTAGAGCTGCAACAATTGGTCCATTAGTTGATCAAAAGAAAATTAGTCACAAACTATTGTGATAATGGATTACTCGTTTCAGTAATTTTCAAGTGGAAATGGCAAAAAAATGTCTGGTTCCAGCTTATTGGAGAATTTGCTTCTTTTTATTGTCATTCATGATAGTAAATAAAAAGTCTTTGGGTTTTGGACTGTTGGGTGGACCAAAGAAGCTATTTAAAGATGCCATGTAGGGCTCTCAAAAGCTGTGATGTGTGTTTTTCATAATTGTTATTTACTTTATAAACAAAACAATTAACTGGTAAATCGTGAAAATAATCAGGTTAATTGATGTTTAATTAATTGATTTATTTTATCTTTATTTATTCTTTACTTTCTCAGTGCTCATTTCTAGAATTGATATATATGTATATATATATATATATATATATATGATGAATATTATTATTGAACATGTTAAAGAATATTTAACATAAATATATACATTCATTTCCCCCTCTAAAATCAATATTTGTATCGTTCACAAAAAACCCATATCGGTCGGGCTCTAGTTAGTTGCAGCTCAACTTAGAATGTGAATGACTAGATATAGTTCTTGTCAATCCCCAAACTCAAACTATCTTCACTTACAGTTGTACTTAGCTGATAGAAATAGTTTTATTTGACCTCATGTGCAGGTTGAGTAGAATGTGTTACAGCTGAACTCACGTGCTAGCTGCACCTGCAGAGACATTCTGGTGTAGTGGTCAGCAGATAGAACTTTGAAATGGTTATGTTCGCCAGTAAATTAAAGGTTTTCTCATTTTGAAAGATCCCTCAGTACCTCCACCCCAATACATGGGAGCTCACAGAGTAAGTGTGTTCTGTGTTCATTTGCTGTGTCTGTGTGTGTGGTGTGTGTGTCTGCCAGGGCAGAAGTGAAGGGAGGGTGGAGCAGCGTAACATCCATCTACAATCACACAGCTTTGGAAGTCAGAATGTCAAACAGACAAGCAAGGTACTGTAATCACACACTCACATACACATTTTAATGCATCAGTTTCGGAATGTGAATGTAATTTGTGTCTTAACTGTAAGATAAGATTTTATTGATCCCACACTTGGGAAATGTACTTGCTACCGCAGCTCCAGATAGGACACAAGAGATTAGACAAAAACAAACAGAACATAAGAATAAGAGTTATATTTACACTATATAGTATAGTGGCAACAAGACCGTATCACCTCAGGTTGTGTTCTCTTGTCTGACGTATGAAGGCTGGTTCAAATTCAACACAATTTGATCATTCTTTTTTAACTCCAACCCCCAAACTTCACTTTCATGCTCCACCTCTCCCTAAGTGGAAATGACATCCTTGATGTTTTTTTCTGACTGTTGTACTGTGTATATTTTCCCCCAGGAGGAGGTGTTTCAGTGGTGGGGGGAGTGGTCCAGTTGGTCCTCTTGTTCCAGGAGCTGTGGAGGAGGAGTAAGGAGTCAGGAGAGACACTGTCTCATACAGAGGTAGTGTGTTTAAAAAACAACAGCAATATAGTTGCATACACTACAGGTGTCAATCAATGAAGCAGTTTAAAATGTCACTTTGAGCTCTGGGAAAATTATGAAGAGCTTTTTTAATTTTTTTACAGAGTAAATGATTAATTGTGAAAATAAGAGTGACCACATTTGAAAGTTTCCTTCAGCACGCCTATAAAAATCTAAATGTGACCACACTTTACATCTAAGAAGGCTGAAAAATCTCCTGAGTGCTTGTAGGCATGCACATACCTGGCCAATAAAAGTGATTCTGATTCTGAGTTTTAGAACTGTAATCAAAATCACTATATGTGATATTACAGTAACTATTGCTTTTTCCAGTGATAAAAACATTTATTTTGACAGTTTACCAAAAATATTTATGACGTTTCTGCTAAAAAAAATAATAATAAGTATATGTATATGTATAATTATACGAGATATCTGCCAATGAACAAACAAATTCATGTTAACATTTTGTTTTGCTGTGCTTTTTAAGGAACTCAAAGACACTTCACATTAGTAAAAACAACATATACATACACACACATATATATATATATATATATATATATATATACACACACACATATATATATATACATAT